TGTACCTTCGAACCTAACTAATAATGTACTTTATATTAAATTTTGACCGATTTTAGTATACGCTTGGAAAAAAATTCCTAAAATTGGCCTTTATTTTGTACGTCCATGGTGGTCTTACCCCTTAATGCCCACAACGATCACAACTATGACCGTAATCTTTGCCGTTCCACTTGCTTATGGATAGAAAAGCAAACGACGAAACGACCGCGTTGACATTCACTTACGAATCATGAGTGTCGTGAGTTCGACGCGATCGCGATTAACTCTAGACTACCACCTGGGTAAAATTTACTCGGACTATTTCTGAAGTGCGTGCCATTCCGACAGGGTTGAAAAAACTTACAAGTGTTCTCTACAACCTTTTATCATAAGCCACGTCATTCCACTTAATTGGTACTGCCATTCCAGCAACGCGTAAAAAGTGAAGCCATGTATTTTTCTTTTGAAAATACCACTAATGTTCTTTTAGAAACTATGCTTTACTTTTTTTATTCGCCTCTGAAAAGAACTGCGATGTAAAAGAAAAATCATCTTTTTCGGAAAAGATATAAAAGCTGATTTACATTTTTGCAAATTGTTCATGTCCTTAAGATCTTTGAATGTTACTATCCATTCAGTCACCTTTCTTACTGTCTGACGTATAGATTTAAAAAAAAGTTCTAAATCGATGCATTTGAACCGAAGTTACGCAACAAAATAAGTAGGCCGGGTAAATTTTACCCGATATGGTAAATTTGAGTGGTAAATATGAACTGCGTTCCGACAACACAACAGCCACTGTTCCCTTTGGACGCTTATACGCTTATAGCACTCGCGCTTTTGTTGCCCTACCTCGATAAAATAATTAGTAAGCACGAGTCATGACGTAATAATGACGTCATGAATGCCTTTCATGAGCGCTTATAACGCCAAAGGGAACGGTATAAGCGAAGCTTATAAGCGCTTACGGCGCGTGAGCGTCCAAAAGGAACGCACCCCATGGTGTGGTAGTCTAGGATAATGCCAGATATGACGTTTTGAACGCGACCACAACGATCACGGGCGTTATGTGGAACAGGATTGTAAGGCGTCGCAAACGTTGCGGGCCTTAAGTGAAAAGTGAAAGTGAACGCATCCATTGTGTAATGATATCCTTCTTTTACGTTTATGAATGAAAGAGATGCTACGTTGCTATTCAGCCGACGCGACGATGCGTAATGAAGGATTTATCCGCCATTATTTAAAGGATTTTAAGTTTGTTCAGCAATGCTTTTTTTTAAAAAGATACCGACATATGTTTATCATTTTTGGAAGAAATTGGAAAACGTGTTCTACATATGTATAGATCTATTGTAAAAATTGAAATCTTTATATCTTAAATTTTATGACGATGGCCGTTTCACAAAACCCATTTTGACATTTTATTTTTTTCTGTAGTCACAAAATCGTACATAAAACGCAATTCAATTTATTACTATTCATTTCCAACAAATGTACAAAGTGACATTAATAAATATACAAAATAGTAATAAAACACACTTAAATATATTATAGTGATATAATTGATTACGTTTTACTTTATAGGAATTTATGTTGAAATCCCTCGTTTTATATAATAATACGTACTTTTTTTGTCCGCTCTGTCATATTTGACTGTTCTTCGTCAGACAATGCTCGCGTGAATGAAAAAACTGCAGATGCGTTCAACGCTTGGTTTTTTTCGTCTTGAAGAAATTCGGAAAGTTCCGTTCCGGCAGAAGACTGACTCAAATCTGATACCCGCGATTTATCTACGTCGGATAATTTTGCTTCGTGTGTTAAATGTGCCGAATGTGCTGTTTGTGAAATATGACCTGGTCTGCGAAGTAATTTAAAGAATTTTCGCTTGTACAATAATATAATATGTGTACGCGCGAATTATGCATAGGCGTGAGATATAAATATAGCTCTGCATTAGCAAATAAAAAGTTTATGTGTACGCTTACAATATCGTAACTTTTCCGCTAACGTTTCGATGATCATCTAATAATACAAAAATCTTCAAATCAGTCGTATTATACAGCGTGGTAGCATCGTTCCATGTTGAATTATCACTCCCAACGACAGAAGGTGCAAATGCCGCTGTCGCAGTCATATCATAATACGCACTGTTAACAGTGTTACTTTTGGTCGAATATTTTCGCAATATTTCGTAAAATTGCAGACTGTCTGGTATCTCGGAGCCTTGATTATTCGCGAACAGTGTCGGCTCGTCGGTACTCTCTATCACTTGCAACGTCGAGTTACGCATCGTGGAATAAAACGATTTACTGAAAAAATAAATATATAGATGAAAAAGGCACTTTCTATTCGAAGTAGAGATAAACGTATATCCTTCCGTAAACACATAATATACTTCTCAAATTCAATTGAATAATTATCCACGTCGAAATATCTCAGAGTGATATCTATGGAGTTCTGATCTTTCTTGCCCAGATGAACCGCGGACCAAGTAATAATTGTTAAGACAATTAAAAATGTGGCAAATGATATCAACCATTGGGTCAGTCCAAAAGCCATAACAAAATTTTTTCTCTTAAAAGGCAACCTTACACACGAATTGTCCTGTCAATTAATTCTTTCCTGTTTCTCTTATGCTCTGCGGGAAAAAGACTCGACATTTTAAAACAAAAAATAATCTGCTGCAATATGCACGTCAAATGAATTGATACAGACGAATTTGATATATAGATTTGGGATATAACATAGGTAAAATATTTATAGGTAAAACAATTCTGATGATTTATAATGCGATACAATTAATACCTATGCAATGGTATGACGGATAATAAAATTGCAGTAATTAATTAATGAAAGTTTGCATAATTATAATAAATGAGTGTGCAATAAATAAAATTAAATTTATAAGAATTAAAAATATTATGTAAGATTCCAAAATAAATTAGCCAATTTATTTTGGAATCTTTGTTATATATTTATATTTAGTTATATTTAGAATATTTGTTATAGTTTTTCGTCTAGGATTTTAAGAGGCGATACGCGTCTGGAAAGTCGGAATTACAGTTTGCAAATTGTCTGCACGGAATTGAAATTTAAAAATCCTTTCACAGGATTGAAATAGACAGGATTAAAATGTAATAGTGGGATGAAGAAATTTGTAGTAAAAACGAAAAAAAAAAGAAAATAAATTTTTAATTTTTTACTACAAATTCCTTCGTCCGATCTCTATACATTTCGTGTCTATTTCAATTTTGTGAAAGGATTTCAATTCCGTTCAGTTAGTTTGCAAACTATGATTCCGACCTTTCAGCAAACAGCAAGAGCCAATAAAAAAAAATTTTTCTTAATTATAGAAATTGATTAGTGAAAAGGCGCAAGCGCAATGTTCTATACAAGTGGCGATATCTACCGCAACACCTCGGAACACGCGCGGATTGTTCAACAAGTTAATGAACTCAATGGGTATATGTCAGACGTACGTCACATCGCCATGCATCGCAGATTCGCAGTATCGCAGTCATCGCACGCATCACCGCGTGCATCGTTTCGCTCGCTTGTATTTAACTCGGTTCTATCGACGAGACGGCAATCGAAGCCGTTCCACGTGCTCATCCTCGTCGTGACGATGAAACCGACAACGTACGTGTGCGCAACAAAACAATGTTAATAGTGATCCACGACTTTTATAACAAAAACAAAAATCTAACCTCCTCATCCTCCTTGCATTGATCTCTGTGGATCTGTGATTGCATTTCGATGTTCATATCGCGAATCCTTCTCGCAGTATCCTGTGCGGCACGATGATCATCCCACGAGTACCATATCCGGAGACATGAAGTGGTTTTGGTGAGAAGGAGCGTGTATAAGCAGAACGTAGGAAGGATGCCAAGCTGCACGAGTCTGATCAGATTGCTTAGACGACGTCTCGTTCTTGGACTCATCTTCGCCCTGTCGCTGACGTATTGTGCCTTTTCGTTGCTCCGAAATGAAAAGGCAGGTGCATTTATATCGTCTAGGTCAGATTATGTCTCGATAATCCGACTGCAGCCACACGATATCGTTATAACTCTCATTACAGAAGGCTTTGCCATTTTCTTTACAGAGAGGACCGCATCTGGACAATGATCTCGATATGGATCCCATGATGATTAATGATAACAATGACATGATACCCGACGATAATACGCTAGAAGAGCTAAGAGCGTCTGACAAGCCTCCATTGTGGCAGATGGAAATACTTGATCAAGCAGCTAGCGATAACGCAGGAAATATAGAGGCTAATTTAAATGACAGCGACGCTTCTACTCAATCTTGTCGTAATTCTATTCAAGTGAGCATTTATATCTTATTAATACGTTGACTGCTCAATATAAATTGTTAACAATCTGTAGTTGAATGCAGACTGTTTGATTTCTTTAGAAAGGAAAATAATTGTATTGTGAATTTTAATGAAGAATAAATATATAATTAAGTAGTATATTAAAATATTTCAACTAACATGCTGATATAAAAGTGACATCGAAAACCAATCTAACTGTACAATGGCAGTCAATGTATTAAATAAATTTATTTAATATTTTATATAAATTTATATTATATAAATTTTATATAAATTTATATTCCATTTTATATTGACGAGCACTTTATAATATATATTTCAATATATTATATTTATAATATATATTATTAGGGAAGAGGCTTGATAGTTGATGATCGCGGCGTAGTATGCTCGAGACACGAAGTTCTGTCTAATGGATGTTGTGCGATAGAGCCAAGAAAGGCGCCAAAAAACGAAGGGTCATTGTCTATGGCTAGAAGAGAAAGATACAGTTGTAAAACGTGTAATCCTCAAGGATGCTGTACTATTTACGAATATTGCGTTTCCTGTTGCCTGCACCCTGATAAGGTAAGTTTTTTTATTAATTCTATAAAACTTTCGTCTTTTTTAAGCTTACTTAACATATTTAAAGCTATGCACCTAAAATATAAAAAAATATAATTACATTTAGAAAAATATTGCCATGTTTATCACGATTTAAATTTGTTTCAGCAAATTAGAGGTCGAAAGGACGTGTTGACGGGCTCCGCGAAAGTACAAAAAAACGTAGGGAGAACGCCCGTTCGCAATTCGGATCGCTTCCAGATTTGTCTGGCCGCCTGTCGCACCTCAAGCTCCAGTGTACGGCACGAGAACACTTATAAGGATCCCCTCGCGAAGCATTGTTATACCCCGCAACGATATCGGCGCAATATTAACTCATTAAATAATAACGGCGACAATCCCGCCGTTGTCGTTACTTCTTTTTCTGTGGTAACGTTACTTACCTACCCTTCATCCGGATCTTATTCCTATTTAACCAATCCTATAATATTGTCTTCGATCTTGTACTAACGTTGTCTAATTATTATTTTATCGTGGAATAACAATTATCCTGATATCATAAATATATTCATCAATATATCTTGATCACTACTATGTACCATATACATATCAGTGGTCTTGATATAATAGCGTGATATCAAGCGTTTGATTTTCAAACGTTTTTTAATAAGAGGATCGAAGACCGCGCACGAGCGAAGATTTGTAGCGCCATATATCCGCGTATTTGATCTCTAAACCGGGATATTTTTTCCGCGCCAGCTCTGTAATCTCATTCCTGATGGTGTCTTGAATTGGATCATCCTAAAACAAACGTGCAAAAATGTGAATACATTTTATTTATTACATCTTTTTTAGATTCGCGATGAAACTGGTAATTACTTGTATACGTACATCGATAATATTACTTGTATACGTACATCGATAATATTACACTCTGCTGCTGCGTAATGGCAGGAAATCGCCCGTCTTGTTCTCTTAGATTTGTTAATGCCGGATCCGTGAATGAGTAACGGATGGAAGAATACCGTATCGCCGGGTTGCATCTCGAGATTCACCCAACGGTTGTATAGCGGAGGCAATTTCTTCATAACAATAGAACGTTAATTTATTAGAAACGATATTCAAAATTATATAAAATCTCGATAAAAAGATAAACTAAGGAGAATATCTTACCTGTATGCCATGATAAAATTTGTTCACCACTCCTTCCTCCTTTGGAGGATAACCATGCGGGAACAAGTATCCCATAGTGTGTGATCCAGGCGCTACAAAGAGACATCCATTTTCGCTGTCGCAGGGTTCCATGGCTGTCCATGAAGCAACTATATGATCGGCTGGTCGTAACGGGAAATAGTACAGGTCTTGATGCGGCGGGTGTCTAAGAGAATACATCACGTTGCATCAAATAACACTGCACACCGATATTACAAGATTTTTTTTTAAAGATTACCTCGAACTTCCAAACCCGATGTCGGGTGGCTTCGCAATGAGCATACTATGTATCGCCATGATATTTGGTCCCGTAAAACACTCGACGATGTCAAGGACCTTCTCGTGTTCGAAGTATTTGCGGAATACCTCATCCGTATGTATATCTTGTATTTTATTTACTGATTTTCTGTCTTTTACATCGTACATTATTATCATTCCCATGTCTCGTGGAATCTTGCCTTCGACGATTTCGTCAAATCTAAACAATAAGACAATTTTATTCGAGTACTTGAACATAATTTTTAAAACAGCTTTTTGATCCCTTTTATGGCAAAAATATCAAGACTATACCATTGTCATTGCCACTGAAATTGGCACAAGTAGTTGAAACCTATAAAAATGGAGTTCTCTTCATATCTGCAATTTATTGTACACCGATATTTCAGATATTCCTTATTGAATGACTGGCCATCTGTGATATAACCGATCGCAATATTTGCGCGCACGTTAATATCAGTCAGCAAATTTACTGAACATCAAACAGTTCAATAAACACTGCCAGATTACCGAGCTACTCATAGTGGACCGGCCACAAGATTATTCTGATTAATGTCTTCGTAGAAATTTTCAGTTTGAAAACTTTTAATACCCGCGCGTTTGCATATCTACGTACATTAAATAAATATTATTTTATGCGTTTTGCAAAAACTGCAATAATCAAAGGAAAACCAGCAGCAACTGCTATATATATATATATGTTTGACATACGCGGAAGATTTTCTCCATATAAATTCACTGTACGAAGCTAGATTTCCAGCAATTAGCTTGAAATGATAAAAAAGAAATAACATCGCGATGGACGTTTAATGCGCTCGTATTACAAGCTAGATATACCTTTCGTGACATTTATCGAGCACATCTTGCGATATGAGGCGGGGAAATACTATATATCCGTTCTTCTCGTAAAATATCCTTTGTTGAACCGTAAGACGTTTGAGAATATCCTTCGTGTAACGAAAATCGTGTAACGAAGTCATTATTGAATTTTTTATTCGTTGCTCTTGAAATCGATTTAGCAACTTCTCTTCCGTTTGCTGTTGTTATTCTGAAACAAACAAAATTTACTTAAGCTATTATTTTTAAAAATCATCTTTTTCATAAAAAACACAAATCATCTGTTCATTAATAAAGATGTTCGTCATACAGAAAACATATATAACGCAAGAAATATTTTTTTGACAAATTTCCAATTTATTGAAGAATAAGAGCATGCGTGTGAGAAACAAAAAAGAATGGCTAATGTCATTTCCATCCACATCTGTATCATCATTGATGATTATCGATTCGCGAGGGCCGCATATCTATTTACGAAGCCATTCAAACTTGTTGCATTGTGTCACGTATTTCCCAGAATTTTCACGAATTGTTTAAACAAATATAATGCAGCGCGAAAAGGCATCGTTTCATCCTGGTCTCTCTCGCAATTTTCACTTTATGAATATTTATCGTGTTCGTTGAGGGAGTACCGTGTTACGCAGTGGCTTTAGTAAGCATTCCATTACAATCCATAAATTAGTAGATTAGTCATAGAAATCGGTGCTTACCTTTAGCCATTTTTTTTAATAATGGAATTCTTTTACGTTTTATTATAAGCGAAAAAAAAAGATATCAGTTATATATCAGTTTTTTTATTCAATAACTAAAACGCATACATGCTTTAGAAAATTTTCTTTTATTTTAAGTTACGCAAATGTATATAATACGTTTTGTCTCGATCGTACTTCTGAAAGAACATAGCAAATCTTGATTCCTTGACTTTGCCAAAAAGGATAGATCGGTATTTTCTTAAATGGGCTCGTAAAACTAATCCTAATGGGGGAAGAGGGAGAGGGATTTAAAAGGACTCGAAGGAACGTTACGGTTGGAAAATGCCTATATGATATTGTCAGATTCTGCAACGCGTCGGATTTTGCACTCAACTCGATCCACGTACTTATACCTGTCGAAACAGATTACACGCTGTCGATTCCCTCTCGACAATCTCGGACGCGTGTTGATACGAAGGCAGTAATCCAATAACCGATGGATTAACCCTTTACACTCCATTTGAGGATACGGCCAATAGTGACGAGTAATTATCGGTTTGCATGAATTACACGCCGATTACTTGGACATTGTGACGACGCGAAAAAGCCTTATATATATGCGAATAATGGTAAAATAATCAACCGAGAAGGACATGTTATTCGCGGCATGCATTAGTAAGCTATTTACAAAATCAATTTCTAATATCAATCGATAATAAGCTACAGCTATTTATGAATTCGACATCTTGAAATGGCGATCACCAACGTCAGAAGCGAGCGGATATAACAATCTGAAAAGGGGGAGAGAATTTATTCGTTACAACTGAAATTTACGGGATTACGTTAATTATTTCTATTTCGAAATAACAAATGAATGATTTGCGAGATTTGCCGATCCGTGCCGCTCCGAAAACGAAACCGCGATTCTTGCAGGATTCCGATTCCGGCACCCCGGAAGCGCCGATTGCGCGCGTCGATGGAGGCGTCGCGACGCGCCGACGTGGTCGCTCTCGCCCGTTTCCTCGCTCCCTCGCTCCCTTTACCCGTCGACTTTAGCACGTGGCATCAAAGAGAAGGATATACATCGGGGTGGTCGGTCGGTCTTCCCGGCCAAACGGCGACGACCCTCGCTCGTCGTCGTTCATTCGCGCGCGTGGATTCGAGAGTTCTCTCGCCGAAAGCAAAAATTAATACCGTCCCGGCCGGTCATTTCGTCGATCCGTGCGAACATCGGGATACTTTGCGGCGCGATCGAATCGAATTTCGAGCGGTGGTTTTAACGCCGAAACAATATTTCACTCCGTGGAATCTACATCGCTAAGTTCGTGCCGAAGGGATTCGCATCGCTGTCTTTTGGATCCTCGATTATTCGCCGGCGACGACAGGAACGAGCATGAAAGTCAGTTGATTTTACCCTCGAAAGTTTTAAGATGGATACGTCGTCGGGTAAGCTCGAAAAATCTCTGTCTTAATAATTTAAGACTAAAAACGCAAGTAAATTACAAATCTTACCGAATAAAATCTTTTAGCTCACCGTTAACTCGCTTACACATCAAATATGTGAGAAAAATTAATTATACAAACGACGATGTTAGAACAAGCATGATTCTGTAATTGTGTGTAACCGTACGTTACAGTTATATATTCTGGAAAAATAATTCTGATTAAATTTTGAAAATCATCAATGGTAAAACGGAAATGCCGCATTGCAGGCTTACGTTGCTTTGAAAATAAACGGCACGAAAAAAAAAGAGAAGACTTTTAACTGCTCTTTCCGAACTACGTCCATTAACTCGATAATTTATTTCGTAAAAATCTAATTCAGTGACGCGACAGAGGCGCGGAATATATATTAACGCGTCGCGAACCACTTCCATGCTCGGCCCGGAGACGTATTTTTAGCGAAAGCCTACGGCATCGCACAGATTAATGTATGTTAACACGAACAATAAATTTCTCCCACAATAGCGCACTACAGAATACAGGAGGCTGGAGAGATCGCCCCTCGCATCAGCTCGCGATAAAAAATTATTATGCAATTTAACAGTTTTCGACTCGACGAAGCGTGTCTCGCGCGCCGTTTCGCACGTTCAACTTCGATAAAAATTTCATTCATCGCAGTCGCGCGGAGGAAATCCTTTCTGCGGAAACGAAAGCCCTCATGCCATCAACGTTGTTCGCTGGGCGCGACGCGACGTGGCGATTAATTTCTCAAATCGCCTTGGAACGGCGGAAGTCTCTCGGGAGAGGACGCGAGGGACTCGAGAGGCAGTGGAGCCATCCGCGCGTATCTGCGAGAATAGAAACGAGTTTACGGAGGCAGGCAGACCAAATCGATATACATCGCGTTAATAATGAAGCGGCAAGGTCTATAACCTTCCGTAAGCGAGTCGCGATCGACCTTTCTCGCGGCGGATATAAAGACACTTGTCTCTTTTTCTCACACACACACACACACTCTTTCTCTCTCTGTCGCTCTCGCGCTGTCTTTATGTGTGGCACTTCTACGGACGCAACCAGTCGCGTTCGCGGCCTTTTGTCTACGCAAGTGCGCGACTTGTTTTTTTTTCTTATTTCCTCTCTGCGTGGCCGCGGCAGCTCTACTCTTTTTTCCCTGGCGTGCGAAAATTCTAATCCCGCTTGCTACGAACTCGCGTCGTGACAACTCATCCGACTTCGGTTATAAATGTCACGAATCGAGATAAATGGACGGCTCGTACGGACGCAACATGCCGTTCCTCGTATTAGCGACTTTTTACGATGGATATATGGGAGAGGATTAACATCGCGATAATCATGCGACGATTAATTGCGCGATATAATTACAGAATCTCTCGATGTTCTCGGCTGATCTCGTTACGCGATACTGCATACCGAATGTTGTTACGTATTACGCAGTTTGCCGAGGCAACGAGCCGACTGCGTTTTTCATTAATTTCGAAAACAAGTTTCCGTTCGCTTGCTAATGCAAATTTTTCCCGCCTCGCGAATTCGCGACCCGATTGAAACAATATCAACATTTATTTCCACTAATGTTTACAATCCAAATTCCATTCCAGTTCTCCGCTCTCTTTCGAGGATTTTTCATCAAGTACGGCGTGACGTAACTCTGCGCGTGATCATTATATTATATCGCGATATACGCGATACAAATAGTTGCTAAAAAGAAAAATACGAATTTACGTTAGAAAATTTCTCATTCTTTATATATATATATATCTATATATATATATATTTTTTTTTTTTTTTCATTACAATTTCTAATTTTTCTCGTATTTTTGCCGCAGTCACCTCGTCTTAATTACTTCAGAATCTCGTTAGTCTCTCTTTGATGTATTGTGAAATATAATACGCGAAACTCAAGTTTCGCTGGAAATGTGTTTTCCGCCGCTTACTCCGCTCATCTGGCTCATCGAGAAACAGAGTCGAGATTTCGGAGTCGACCCATTAAATTACCGTGCTTGATTAGCGGCGCCTCGTTAGGCAACATAACAATTATGTCTGATGGGAAAAAGGTATCATACAGGTAATACGAAACATCTTATATTCTCTACAAGATGTTAATAATGATCTCGCGAGCGCGATGCATCCAGCGAGACAGACTGGAGGACGCGCGTACAGGAGGATCGAAAAATATTGTACGAAATTGAAATTACGATCGCGATTACAATTAAATACGAAGAGGACCTAACCCTAATTATTCATATAAAGCGCTGAATGATTAAATTTCAAATTGGAATCCTCTATTCCGTGTTCGTTCCTATTCCCGCGACCTATATAATCGCGCAACTCCAAAATGGAAGGGATTTAATTAGCTTGGAAAGCGATGCCGCAATAAGCCCTCGCAGCGCTTAGGAAGGCTAAACGCGGTGCAGTTAAGCGTAGATGAAGGTTTATTGTCGAGAAGGGAAAAGCGCGTATGTTCGCCACTTGGCCAGCATGCAGAACGGGACTACTTGGCCAGACTTTCAGGCACCCTCGTTTGATAAAGGAACGATGCCCGGCTAGACGCGCCGTCGTGCCAAGGCCTGCAAGAAAAATCTCGTCGTCTATACTATCCACAGACGAAGGTTTTTTTCCCTTCGCAACTCTACCTCCTGCAACTCTACCGCCCGCGCCGCTGGAAACGATAGCTCCGTGTCGCGCGCTCTGAATCGTCAGCGGCAAACGCGACCAGTTTTTTTTTGTTTTTTTTTATATAGGAAGGAATTCCTGTAATTCCTAGTTAGACGGAGAAATTTCGATTTGTATGCAAAAATGCGATCCTGCGTTTCTCCTTTACGTCGCGTTTGTACCGACTCGTTTGTAAACGGTTGCCCGAGGATACGTTTGCGCAATATCCATTTGTTGTTGGAATATACTAAAGGGCAATATTCTTTCACTCTCGGTCTACGCTTTCGAGAAGCGTCGTTGATTGTTCTTGCCGCGTCCCGCGTCCCGCGAGGCGAAATAATACGAATGTTACGATATTCCTTTCCTTCACGGAAAATACGTAGTTTTTCTTTTTATATTTGTATGTACACATAAAGGCGCATTTGGCTTTCAACAACCGTATCCTGAGTCCGCGCTGCTCTTACATCACACCGGCAAAAGTTGATAGCGATGAAGCAGCTTTGTCGTGTTGACTTTCTGCCGCGCTACCCCGTTACGCTCGGAATATTTCAACCGATATAAATTTCTCCTTTGATCGTCGCGATCGCCGGCAAAATACGAAAATACCGCGAATAAAACTTTACATCGCGTTAAACGCGCTTAAATGCCGCTTACGGCGTTTATCCTCAGATGCCAGATGGGATATTTATTGCGTGTACTGAATCCTCTCAGAATTAGATAATCGGAAGATACGAATGTCGCACAAGTATCCTTCCGCATTTGCCGCGTCCTTGTACATCTTTCGCAATCTCTTGCAGTCGTAACGTGATGCGCGAGCGCAGCCGGTTCCAACTCCGAATTTAACACCTTCGGATTTGTTTTCCTTGCGGCCCCGTGAAATGGGCAGTATATTAAAGAGGAGTTGCAGATGTACCGGATCCCCGAGGTGCCGGACGGTCAGTTGTGGCAATAACTCTGCAGTCGCTGGCAGATGCGAAAAGCGGGGGAGAGGAAGCCGCTTAATCAATATTAGTAAATGGATCGTGGGTGCCATGACATTCTCCTTCTATTTCCGAGACATAGAGTAATGCAGAATGGTATTATAATTGGCCTATCAAGATATTAACGTGCAGATAAGATCTTATCCGTCGCGTAATATACTTAGAAATGATTGAAATATTAACAGTAGAGAAAGATTGCGTGTCAAGGCGTCGTCGGGCTTCTGCTTCCTGGGCCAAGGTCTCCCGTGTATTTTTCCCGGATGACCGACGTTTTCGAAGCAGTTTCCTCTGCGTATTCCATCGAGCACATGTGAGAGTTTGTTTCACAAACACTCGCGTGCGGTTCGACAAATAACTCGCGCACTGACTCACGTCACGGTCGGATCCCCGAGCTTTAAGCCGAATTTATATCCATCGAAAATTTCATTTCGCGATCCAAACCGCAAAGATCCATTCGAGATGTGTATGTCATAACGAACTTTCAGTTTGCGATATCACGGAGTGCGTTATTTTAAGATAGGACATGTTACGCTTTCAGAATAAAACACATGTTTAATAATTTCGTCATGAATTATTCAAAGATCAGCATTCAAAGTTCGCGTTTTTTTTTTATGCATAAATAACTCACGTAATACACATACTTAAAAAGTATTTCAAAATTATGTTTTGTAAACCAAGCGAGAGGTGTTATTAATATTTATAAATATAAAAAATTGTTATTTAAATAGTATTTGCGCGAATTTAACATTTTTCTATAAAATGTATCTGTGCCTAACGAAGAAACTCCGAGAAAATCTTGCGCTGCAATTATCAGGTCGATGCGTGCCATGAAGAAATCGCGACGATACGTCGATGTACCTTGGAGGAAGCGTGCCAAGGTCGTCGTGGTCGGTGCACGTGGGGAATGCTTTCCGGAGTCGCGTATCGTCCGGTCGCTCTACTGGATCTCTTCGATCCTCCAAATTGTTTCCTACATGGAATTACTCCTTCCTCCGTCCAATTGAAAACCGAGTGAGTCCATAATTGAGCGCGACCACTCAGGACAAACGGCATTAAAGGCGAGTCGAAAAGAGTACGAAGAGCGACACGTATCCTTTACGGACTTGACTTGACGAAACTAGGACATGCTGTGGAATCGATATGTCAGTTGTCCCGTCCAGTTTCAATTCGGTATTCCGGATCAATACCGTTGGTTAGCTCGTGCTTACCGAAGCTCATTTAAGAAGACAGAATAACGGAGCAACGGGGGGGAGGGGATGAAAAAGATGCGGAAGATTTCAAAAAATTCAGAGCTTGTGAATCACTAGAAACTCCCTGCTTCTTGCATAAACGCAAGTATTTTATGCGACGAAT